AGAAAGTCCATTGTCCCATGAATAGTATAAAACACCAATTTCAAAATGCGCTTATGAGCAGAAGTACTTCTAATATAAACAGTTCTAATTTTGTAAGAGTATTGCTAGGTAGATTAAATTTGTTGACTAAATTTACAAACTAAATGATGTATAACCAATAGAAACAAACACGTTAATTAACACTTAATGATGTGTCACTTAATTAACTTTCTTGTCACTTAATTAACTAAAATTTTAAACCAAATTTGCAAACCAAATGATGTGTCACAAATAAGAAATAAGCATGTTAATCAACACTTAATATAATCCAATCATCAACATCCACATCATTTAGTTTACAAAATTTGGTTTAGAAATTTAGTCAACTTAGTATTATCCATTATTTAATCTATCAGACACAAATTAGAAAGTTAAAACAAAATCAAAAGAAGGGTTTAATTAATGAATAATGTTAAGGAGACTAAATTTATAAATTAAATTTGTAACCAAATGTTATGATTATTGATGATTGAATTATTACTTAAGTATTTATCAACGTGCTACACGGCATTTGGTTGGAAATTTAATTTAATAATTTGGCTGACCTTGCATTACCCATAATTAAATTCATCCATCCGCAAACAGACGTTTAGCTAATGGCCATTAATCCCATTCTCCCAGCACGAGCAACCCTCTCGCCACCCTCTCCCTCCCCTTTTTCTTCTCGGTTCTGAAAAAATCCCAGATGCATCCAAGCGACATAGCTTCGGCGTACTTACATTATTTAAACTAGCTTACCACTTGGGAGTTGGGACCTCGTGTTTTGCTTTGAAATACTTCGAGCTAGAGAGAGAAAGACACACTGTGAGAGATTTAAGAGAGAGAAGAAGAAGGAATCCCAAAGCCGCTGTCCCAATCTTTACACCGTTATCTGTTTGGGACATTGCAATCCCCCTCCTTCCTCCCATTGCCAAGATCCCATTTTTATTACCAACCCAATCCATGAAGAAACCCAAACACCAAACACCTTCTCCTCCCTTTGTCCCAGTACTATTTAGTCCCGTTAGGTCGTCCTCCAGGATCTCCAGTAATCTTCCCAATGGCTGCTTGTGCTCTCCTCGGTGACAATGTCGGCGGCCACATCAGCGGCAATGGCAGCAATAAGAACAACAGTAGTAGCCACGGTGGCGGTGGAGGAAGCCCTTCTTGTCCTATGAACAACAGCACTACCAATTCCAACAGCAGCAGCGTGGAGCAGCAGCCAACCAAGATGGTGAGAAAGCGCATGGCGTCCGAGATCGAAGTCCAAACCACCCCGACAAGCAGAACCGCCGGTTCGGACTACTTCCAGCTCTCCCGCCGCGGGATTATTAATAATAGTCCGCCAGTCCAGCCGGTATATCCAAACCCATATCAAAATCCAAACCCCAGTAAAGTGAATAGTAGTATGTTTTATCCCAACTACTCCACTATGCTGTTACCCGTACCATCTTCCACAGATTTGACCGCTTTGACGTCAGCTGGTGGGGCTTTATTGTCACCTGCTTCTCCTTCCCCTTCTCCTTCTCCTTCTCCTTCTCCTTCTTCCGCTACAGCAGCTGGCAGCTGGGGTCCTATCGATCCATTGTCGTTTCATCGCCCTCTTCCGATTCAGCCGACGACCACCACCACCCAGATCACTACCACTCCGGCCGTTTGTGGGTTTTCTGGTCTGCCCTTGTTCCCACCAGAAAAGACTCCTCCTTCGAATCCTACTACCGCTGCTACTACTATTTCCGCCATGGAAGACGGCTCCTCTGCCGCCACGGCATGGATAGACGGGATCATAAAGGACCTCATCCACAGCTCCACCAACGTCTCCATCCCCCAGCTCATTCACAATGTTAGGGAGATTATCTTCCCTTGCAACCCCAGCCTCGCGGCTCTCCTCGAGTACAGACTCCGCTCCATATCCGAGCCTCCGCCGCCTCCTCTGCCCCTTCCAGTCCCGAGCTTTAATCCGACCCCAATCCCAGACATGAGGAGTAGACAACAAGGTGGTCCTGGCCCCGGGGCTCTTAAGCTCAATCTGGACTCTGGTGCCCTACATGACGTTGCAATCTTCAACACATCAACGGCGGATAACAATGACTTGTACTTGCAGTCATGGTCTGGGGGTGGCGGAGGGGTTGGGCTGTCCCTACCCCAACCCAACCCTACTCATGTCCCTATGACCTGCAACCAAACAAACCCACATCACCAAAGCCCTTCCTTTAATCAGGCAATTCATCAAACACAAGACAAACAATTAGAAAACTCGTCATCCTCTTCCCCTGCGGCGGAGTCCACCACCCCAACCGCTGCACCCGCACCCACAACCGCTACCGCCACAGCCCCGCCGCAACCAACAACCTCAGCAGTCTCCCTACTCAGAGAGAAAAAAGAAGAGATGCGGCAGCAAAAGCGAGACGAGGAAGGCCTACACCTCCTCACCCTCCTCCTCCAATGCGCGGAGGCCGTCTCCGCAGACAACTACGACGAAGCCACCAAAATGCTCCTCGAAATTTCCGAGCTCTCCACCCCATTCGGCACCTCCGCCCAGCGCGTCGCGGCCTACTTCTCCGAAGCCATGTCAGCCCGCCTCGTCAGCTCCTGCCTCGGCATCTACGCCTCCCTCCCTCACTCCTCCGTCCCCAGTCACCTACACCCAAAAAATGGTCTCCGCCTTCCAAGTCTTCAACGGCATCAGCCCCTTCGTCAAGTTCTCCCACTTCACCGCCAATCAAGCGATCCAGGAGGCGTTCGAGCGGGAGGACAGGGTCCACATCGTCGATCTCGACATAATGCAGGGCCTCCAATGGCCCGGGCTGTTCCACATCCTGGCCTCCAGACCCGGCGGTCCTCCATACGTCAGGCTCACCGGGCTCGGGACCTCAATGGTGGCCCTGGAGGCCACGGGAAAGCGGTTGTCCGATTTCGCAGACAAGCTAGGGCTTCCGTTCGAGTTCTTCCCCGTGGCGGAGAAAGTTGGGAACTTGGACCTGGAGAGGCTGAATATCAGCAAGAGAGAGGCTGTGGCGGTGCACTGGCTGCAGCATTCGCTTTACGATGTCACGGGTTCCGATTCCAACACGCTCTGGCTTTTGCAGAGGTAACGTCTCTTCAATCCAGTCCAATCCAATCCGACTGATTTCTTGCTTTTCCACTTTTCTGGGTAAACATATCATGAAAATTCGAACTGGGCTTCTTTTGGGTTGCACTTTTTGGTGTCTTCGATCGATGCTGGTGATCAAAGTATCGAACTATAATAAACACTAGCTAGCGCTGACTAATTGTTAAACAAATAATGTTATTGGGTTTAGATCAATTGCAACTTTCATGCGCTTTTCAAATCTAGTAACTGCAAAAAGCTGCACCTTCATAGTGGGAAGGAAGCAAAAATTAAAGATTTGATTTTTTTTTTTTTTTTTTTTTTTTTAACCTTTTAACGAAGTGGTATTTTGAGATTCTAAACTTCCATTTTCACCGCGCTATTCGGTTTATTTCTGGTCTTTAAATTGAAAAAGTTAGAAGGAGATTTAGAAATAGAATTAACAAAAGCACGCTTCGGAAGAAAATGAGTGTTCGAAAATAATTTCTGTATTCTAATGTATGGACAAGATTCAAACTTGGAAACGTTTATGATCCTAGATTGAAAAACTCAAAGAAGACTTCAGAAGTAGAATTAAACAAGAGTGTGCGTCGCGTTCGGAAATAATTTCCACATCTTAATTCACGGGCAAGATTCAAACTTAGGTAGAAGGGTCGGACTAATGTCTCATGGCTGCATATTTTATTAGATACTTCCAGCACATGTTTATATATGAATTGTTTTTTTATTTTTGTGTTACTATTGATTCAGATTGGCGCCAAAAGTGGTAACGGTGGTGGAGCAAGACCTGAGCCACGCTGGCTCGTTCTTGGGCCGGTTTGTGGAGGCCATACACTACTACTCTGCCCTGTTTGATTCCTTGGGAGCGAGCTATGGCGAAGAGAGCGAGGAGAGGCACGTGGTGGAGCAGCAGCTGCTCTCCAGAGAGATTCGTAACGTTTTAGCAGTGGGCGGGCCGTCGAGGAGCGGAGAGGTGAAGTTCCACAACTGGAGGGAGAAGTTTCAGCAGAGCGGGTTCAGGGGCATTTCCCTGGCGGGAAATGCGGCAACTCAGGCCACCTTGCTGCTCGGGATGTTCCCTTCGGACGGGTACACTCTGGTGGAGGACAATGGGACTCTCAAGCTTGGGTGGAAGGATCTCTGCTTGCTCACCGCTTCCGCATGGCGGCCGCCGTATCATGCCGCCCCAAATCCGAACCTTCACTACTGAGATGCTTTTGTCCATGTATGTATCAATATGATGTTTCGTCAGGGTGCAGGGTTTTAGGCGGTTGCTGAGTTTGAATGTATTATCTTGTTATGCTTAATTACCATCATTACCCCACTTTAATCTTTTTTTAATTGAAATCGATTTTGTGTTTTGGAAGAATCTTGGGTTTTAGGGTCTATAGCCTTCGGGCCTGGCTCGGGGTACTATGGGATTTGGGTAGGGAGAGACTAGGCCTTCTACCTTCATGCGCATTACTAAGTCTGAAAATTCTCTCTCGCACATTTTTTGCCATCAGTGAGCGGTTGAGATTTAACTAAGTGAGATGTGGTTAAATCTCAACCTTTCATTATTGCCGTCAGGCTTTCGGCCGGTGCCAAAACTCTACATTGTTGCCTCGCATTTTAGTCTAGTCTATCTCAGTCCCTGGTGTGGTGATGATCCTCTAGACAGTTATGCTTCTTAAGTTGTCGAAAAGCATATGCTACTATCTTACCACGTTTCATTAACACGTAACCCAAACCCTGTCATGGGACATCATTAAAAATGCAAAATTTCGAGTGGTATCATTCTCATTTCTAACGTATCTTTCGCTTACTAAACACACAAAGAAAGAAAAAAAAAACAGTGGACGCCGACGAAAGTGCAACTAAACATGTAAGACCCGAGATCTGGAGAGGAAGATGAAGACGACAACACACAATTTTGACAATGGTTAAATTGATTTGTTCAGAGAAAAACAAAATACAATTTATAAAGGAATTAGTCCCCTGATATCACCTAACAAAAACAAAATTGAAAAAAATTAAATAAAATAAAAATACAATATGGTAAATGAATCACGTTGGACAAACAAATAATAGCTACCACCCTTTCCTGCGTGTACACAATTATTTGAACAGCTTTCCTCTTAAGCAAACAACATCCCCTTCAAAACACTTCCACCGGAATTGTCCGTCGGATCACCCTTCGTCTTCCTAATGCGGTAACCTCAGAAGCTTCAGGCCTCAGCTGCCATCCCGGGAGCTTCGTCCTTCTGCTCTTTCCAGAAAGAAAAATAAAATTTTATGAGTCTTTTATTTACCAAAAGAATTACACTTATGTGTGTGAAACTTGGGGCGGGCATCACTTCCTCGCCTTGGAAGCTTTGATAACAAAATTCTCAGCACCCGAAAAATAAGGCATCCATCGGTTAGTGCTTCTGGAGCCCCGTGTTTCATATAACCTCTGGTAGTGAACACAGGACAATCAGCTCATCATGAATTCACATTGCAGTCGCTCAAGAACTGATCTTCTCGGTTCAGAAAATCTTCCAGTAACCTTTGTATTTTGGGATCCCTAACTCAAGCCAAGGTTTCATCTTCCCGTTATAGTGCAACACTGCAGCTTTCTTTATCGGATAAACATCTATGTTATAGTCATGACCTAGCCCAGAGAGAGCCCATGAACCATCAAGAGGATAAATCAAGCCCCGAAAGGTAAGCAAGCTTGCATGTAGAGCAGCGGCTTCATTTCCCCCATCTTGCGTTGTCCCCTGCTCATGCAAATATGTCAGAAAATGTGAATGACAATAATGGTTTTGAATGACAATAACATCTCACCAAAGATAATGAAACCCAAAGAGGTCAAGCATTCCATCCTAACTCTAAAAGTGAATGTTTTTTCCCGCTCTTGTTAAACATTGATAAAAAAAATCACAATGAATATAGGTATTAGGTGAACTTAAGATGTCACTGACCTCCGTTACAAACTTTTTGTAAGTTTCAGGTGAGATCGAGCTTTCTCCACTTAACCAGATCAATCACATTCAATCCAGACATCCAAGCGCATGAATTTTTATCGAAACTGTTCTTGCCAAGAACGCTCTTCAGCAGACTTAACTTCACCGAGCACAACTGCACAGCAGCATTAACTTTCCCTTCCATGTTGAGGCTCCATAGAGCAGACAAGTCCTGCTGGACAACAACATCATCATCCAGAACCACAACTTTCTCCAAATTCTGGAATATCTCAGGGAGAAGATAGTGCGAGTGAGAAAAAGTAGATAAGTATTCCGTTCTGGATTGGGCATCAATGCTATAGGAAACACGGAACTCCAAAGGCAGTGAAAGATATAGTTTGCGCTTGTCTAGATTAAGCTGCTCAATGTTTAACACCTCAACCGTGGCTTCCTTGTAAGTATTTCTGAAAAACCAGAGTTTCATTGCAAAGTAATTCTCTTGATCCGTGAGCACGTGAAAAACCAGTTTCCCACTATCCTGAAACATAAAAAAATTTGTTAATTGGAGTCATCACAAGAAGTGAAGCTAACTAGCAGCAAAATACATACAGAAGAAAGAATAAATACATACTTTTGCATGCATTACAGTTGAGTTGATTACAACTGAGGATGCAAGTACGTTAGTGGAGAATATGACATAGTGCTGGAATGAACGATTAACGTATTTGTCAGCCAGAGAGGAGTCGGCATTGTCAAGAGGAGATCTGAAATATTCCACAGTCAGTCTCATTGACAGGCAATGGTGGCTCTTTGGCATAGTCTGGACAGCAAGTTGGTAGAGAAAGACACTTTGTTTCATGTGGAAGTTCGCTTCATCCTCAGTCATATCATATATTTGTCTCAGTTTCTTGTCAACATTATTACAATCCACGCGGAATGTTTTGGCTTTGGCTATTGAAGCTTGCAACCTCTGTAGCTTCTTCTCAATCCTGATGAAACAATTGGCATTGTGCTTAGTTCAATGGGGAAGCTGGAAACATTGTCAATAGCCCATGATGAAAGAAATCTAAGAAAACCAGTATAGGACTGTCCCAGAATAAGATTAAAAATATAAAACAGCAGCATAATCTTGTAAGAAAGAAGGAATGAATTATGAGAACTTGTGCATTTTCAAGGCGGATTTGACAACCAAATTCAACCAGCAGATCTTAAAACGTCAATTGTAAGTACAAACCCTTTTTGTTGTCATTGAATGAGCAGAAAATGGGAATATAAAGGAATAGTTTCCATGACTTACTGTGGGGGAAGATCAACATCTGTAGTACTTTCACTAAGAACACGCTCCACCTCCTGAATATTTTGTCTCAACTCACGAGACAACTTGTCTTGTGATGGAAGTTTCGCGATACTAGGAAAATATGCTCGAGCCACAAATAGTTGATCCTTCAATCTCTTCACCATAGCATCCTTCATGTCTTCTCTATGTTGTTCACGCCAAAGGCAGTAGCTCCCAAACTTCAACTCGCATGATTTTCCACTTTGATCCACACCACCTTTCGCATAATCAATGATTTGAGCTGAGTCACCAGCTTTAGAGTTCTGCCACAAAGATCCAAATTAAACAGAGCAGAAGGCAATAGCTCTACAAGAACAGAATCTGTTAGCATGTTAATCAGATTCCAAGAAAAAAGATGGCCGATTCATGCATACATTTTCAATGGGAAGTGAGTGCGGACCATCATGAGGTGGAGCTGAAACTCCTGCAGTTACTGAAAACAAAATTCAAGTTAGAATCTATTACATGGCAAGTAAAAAGTATAGACAAACCTTAGAAGGCATTGAACATTAACAGGCCTTTTGATTGTTCATTGCTGTGGACGCACTGGCTTGTTCATTGTTGTGAACGACACTGGCTTGTTCATTGTTGTGAACAGCACTGATATTTTTGGTTTCATTTTCAGCTTTATGTGAAATAACTTTATGTGAAATATTCTTTAGTATATCCTGGCACAAAACAAATAAAGGTAGAGAAATCAATCAGGTCATTGAAGACTTGAGATGCCTGAATCACATCACTCAAATTATTGACCGTGTTTGTAGACCAAATGAATAAAATATTGCTGCAATGGTTCCTATAGGCCTTAAATGCCAAACACTAGAGTCAAAAAATTAATTCTCATATCATGGATTAGTGAATGGCTGCCTTATCCCAAACCACAAGAACCAGGATAGGCAGGTGTTCCTAAGATACAAATTCTGTTAATTAGGCAGCAACTATGAAAGACTGGGAAGACCCGCGAAATAAATAGAACCACAGATGGAGAAACTAGTATGGTAAATTATAAAGATATTTCTTCACTGTGGATCTTTAATTTTCTCATCTCAAAGACAGATTAAATGCCAAGACTTACAGAAAAAAATTTATATGTGCCCATAATTAGTTTTCAGATTCTACGAAGGTACATATATCCTACAGTTAGAAACATAGAACATAGGGCCACTGGATTCCACCATCAAGTACAATCAATGTCTTAAAAGGCTCGCCTTAGGGCACGCCTAGGCACCCTGTGAGGCTGGGCTTGAGGGTTACCGCCTTTGTTTTGAGGGAGTGGGTGGAAGGCGTCGCCAGAGCCGCCTAGGCGGCGGAAGATGCCGCCAGAGCCGCCTAGGTGCCCCTCAGGGGAATTTTTTTTTTTTACTCCCAAACCCAAATTTTGGGTAGGGTTTTAACTACCTCATACCTCTTCCTTGCACTATCATCTCTCTGCCTTGTTTTCTTATTTTATTTTTTATATAAAGGATGTGTGTGCCGTCTGCGTGCATTGTTATGTGTGCTCATTGTGCTTTTCATCCTCTATTATATATCTATATATATAATATAATATAAAATATGTATATATATATATGTGTGTGTGTGTGTATGTATTTATAATATATGTGTGTGCTCAGGGTGATTATTGATTAATAATCTTCTTCTTTTTTAATATAATACATGTGTACACACAGTGTATATATTAAAAAATTTAGGTCCCGTCCCATGAGGCTTCGCCTCACACCTAGGCTGGGCTATCCCTCGGACGCCTCGCCCACGCCTCACGCTTTTAATACATTGAGTACAATTCACAAGAACCAATCAAAAGCCTATGATCTTTGGTAACTGAACAAAACAGTTGTACTTGTCCTAATTTGAAAGGAAGTGTCTATTGGTTACTATACTGTTTATTCCTCAAGCTCCTGAACTAAAAAGTCTAAAACACATCCTGAAGAACTCTTAGACGTGTTAGAATAATTCAAAGCCCATTGGCACATTAATCCAGTTATTGGATCTAGCCAACGCCTAAACATAGAGAAAGAAAAATCAAAACCTGCTAATTGCATGTGACTCGTTAATTTGTTGTGATGAATTAAAGTGTACAGTACTCGGATACTTCAGAGCTTATTTTGTATTATTGCTGTATTTTCCCATAGTTTTAACACTTTTTAGAGGACCACGCCAAGACTTAAAAGTTCTTAGATGACCCGGCTGGATGAGGAAGTTGATGAATACTGTATGTAAATTCTTTCCGGCCCCTTACACATTAACAGTTAAGACTTTCCAGCATCACAACTCTTAAATACATAAACAAATTCCTAGCAGAATTTATCTCAACGAGACACAATGTCTAATTTTGAAGAATTTTAACACGTAAACATTGCCCTTATCAATAAATATCACACATTTCAGTAGCATTTGTCTGGAAGCTAAGTGATGTTTCATCTACAAGCCTATTTCCCTATAACTAACTAAGCATTGTATCAAACGAAAAGCAGCGGTACCATAAAAAACCTAAGACCAGAGCAGCAGGCAACGAACCTTTGAAAGGGTTGGTGTGAAATTTTTCACGAAATCATCTACATGCTTCGAACCACCCCCCTGCAAGAAACCAAATAATCAGTAATTTATCTTCACCAATGTGTTTCTACCCATGAATTCGATTTACAAAGCTGGCTAGTATAGTTTACCCCTAACAGATTAGAAGCATTTATGATGATTTTTGTACCATATCCTCCAATCTGACACCGATTCGAAAATTCGAAAAAAGAAAAATAAAACAGATCAACACCAAGAATGTAGGATACAGAAAACAATTCCAAATTAACAAAACAAAGTTCTAGTTCTTACTGAAGGCGAATTTCGTTGTTCTGGTACATATCCTGCATATTATGAACAAAAAGAACAAATCGAGATTTGAGAGAGATCCAAAACTACCATTGCAAAAGCAAAATCGGATCTGAGAGAAACAGATCTAGAGAAAGAGAGAGAGAGCGAGACAGTTACCGGGAGGGTGAAAGCCATTGTGAAGGCCGAGAAGGAAGAGAAGTGGAACGAGCATGGAAAGAAAAACCAAACCCAACACCCCAATCACCAACCCCTTCCATCGCCGCTTGCCGGAATAACTACCGCCCGCAACCCCGCCCTTCATTGCTCCGCCAGCCCCTCCTAATCCGATTTCATTGCCGGGATTAAGCACCGAATCCACCACAATCAACCACAATTAACACTAATCCTCCTCCTTCTTCTTTTCTTCCTCCTCCTCCTCCTCCTCCTCCTCCTCTGGTTGTTGTTGCAGTGTCAATATCAAATGCGAAGTCCCACTCGCACTCCCAAACGCCGTCGCGGTCGCCGTCGCATCAACAAGTGAAACGCGGTGCTTCCTCTGTGGCATGAATCATCATTTCTAATGATTTGATTGGTTGTTTCTGAGCTCACTGTCTCTCTCACTTCGATTCCGAATCAAAGGCTGGATGGGATGGGATTGCACTGGATTGCACAGTCCGGCACGGATTGGATTTTCCTACTTTTAGCACAACAAACTGTGATCTTGTTCTTCCTTTTTTTCTGAAAAGAAAAAGAGAAGAAAAGAAGAGCTTACCGTTGTCTCGGGCTTTTTGGTGGGATTAATTTTTTTATCCCTTGCGGTTAATATTTATTTTGGTTTGTTATTATTTTTTGGGTCAGATCCAATTCTCTTACGTTTGTGAGGATGTCACTCATCATTGGACTCCTCTTCCTATTTATAACGCAAAAATAGAAGCCATCTCCCCCGTGTATATATATATATATACACGCGTAACGATATTATTTTACATTTGCTTTTTTTAAAAAGAACATAGGTTATCTACAATAATAGAGGGCTAACATAGTGCTTAATTATGTTTTAGCCATCAAATTTTAAGACTAGGCTATAATTTATTTCTCTTGATATTATAGTACTTTACAAATTTAGTCTACTTTGAGGCTGCATGTTGCATTCGATGAAGTCAAACTTAGCCTTATTCTCTTTAGCCCTTTGATTAGCTACTAATTTTGTCCATTTTAGAGCTTAATGTTGCCTTAGCCCTTTGACCAGAGATGACCTCGTAAAACGAGTTCTTCGTCACCTTAGCGTTTTAGTCCAATGTTATACTTAAGTTTCCCTACACATGACTCATCAAAATGAAATGTAAAATGATAATAAATTTGTTCCATACAAGTTATTCTTGTGTATTTGGTACGGGCGAATTTTCTTTTCTACCCAATAAACTATAGAGTATACACTCGTACATTATTTATTAGGTACTTTTTTTATTGTTTCAATTCTATTTATGTTTTGTAGTTAGTTATGCTATCTAAATTTTAGAAATGGCACCAAAATACAAAAATAGAGGCAGTTGCTTGCCCGGTGATCTATTAATTTTCTCGATTTGTTAAACTAGTCTTTGTCATTTAATTTTTTTGTCGATAAAACTAGTCCTTTTATTCTGGTAAAAATAAAATAGTGTTCCTTGATTTGGATGATAAAATAAATCTTTATCATTAGCTACGTTTTTATCAGATTTTGCTCGTATTTGAAATCGAACAATAGGGGGGTAAAATTAATTTTAGAGAGAAGAGGATGGAAGGATTGCTGGTAGATAATTAAATAAATGTTAGAATCGGGTAATTAAGGTATAGAAAGATTGTTATAGCTCGCTTGAGAGTATTTTTAAAATAACGGCTGAAAGCGTTTGTAGAAAAAATAGTTTTAGGTTTCAAAAGCACTTGAAGTGCTTCCTTGCAAGAAATGTTTCAAGTGTTTTTCTAAGATTCACTTATATTTTTATTAAAAATGGTTTCAAAAGAATTTTTACCAAAAATGTTTTCAACTATTTTAAAAGCTTCCACGAACCCTTATTTGTTGATGTATGCTTGCTCATAATTTCATTTTTTTTGTTTTTTTGTGAAAATGTGATTATTGAGTAACACCCACCCACTTTTGCGACCATTGAGTTTTACACCATTTGTAAGCAGTTTCACCATTTATTAATTTACATAAGTATTTTTATTGAATATTTAATCTTGTGAAGTAAGTGGTTTTTGTGTTAAATCCTTGTATAACGGCATGAGTTCAAACTATATCGGTAGTTAATCTAACAAATTTATCGTTTGACAAAAAAAAAAAAAAAAAAAAAAAAAACGTAAAAATCAACCAAAAAAATTTTGTGACCACGATCAGTTCCGTTTTGACAGTCGGAACATCTCTGAAATGTCCTACATAAAATTTTAATCGCAAACCCGATTACAAATCGTGAGTGTTAGCTCAAACTTTCAGTAAAAATGCAACCGTTGAGTTTTCAAACAATCATTTTCCTGGAAGTAAAGTAGTTGCGGCCGTCCAACAACCAAACTAATTCAACCGTTTTGGTGTATTTCGGGAAAAGAAGCCAAGTCATATGAGTTATATACTAAAACTCAGAAGTGGTCTGTGGAGACAGTGGCGGACTTTTGCCCTCGCATCTGTTGGTGGCTTGCTTCGTGCATGGAAAGACGGTTTTCCCATTTTCCACGCGTTCTTCGTGCGAGGTACCGTTTGGTACGTGGGGACTGGACCAGAGTGGGACAGGCGTCCGTCCACGTGGTGTGCCTAAAAGGGTGGAACGAGTGTTCCACGGGACCGTTTGGGTGAATTTTCGTTCCTCTAAAGCCCCCAATGGCACTGTTTTCCACACCGAGAACACAAATTAAAATCCCGTCTCCTTCTTCTTCTCTTGTTTCCATCCGAGGGCATCTTTGCTCCCGCTCCGTTCCGTTCCGTCCTGTCCCGTCCCGTCCCGTCCCATTCCGTTCCGTCCCGTCCGGTCTGCATACCAAACGATACCTTAAGGAACAGTTGCCCGGCTTGCCCACACGTCCATCATCACTGGACCTGCTTTCGGCTTCATCAGTGCTTTTCGCCTTTCTCTCTCACCATTCTCAGTTTTTGCTATTATGAACCCTGGCTTTCTTTGTCTCGAAAACGGCGGTTTGCCTCGCTCATCAACCTTGCCGTCTCTTTCACAAATTATCAACAACGATGGTCTCTTGCCGGAAAAAGCACTCTGTAGCTAGAACTTTTTTCGATTTTTCATTCGAATCGATTCAATTTTTTACCCAAAAAAGTTAGCGTTTACTGGTGAGTTTTTCCGCCTTTCTCAACGTGGGTGTTTTATTTTTTATTTTTTTGGTAGTTTAGGATTTGCAGATGGGTTTTGTGTTTAAGTTTGCTTTTTGTGATTTTGTTTGTAGGCTCGGATCCTTCCTCATCTTCTTCATCCAAACCAGTAGCCCCACCTTCGATTATTACCGACGGAAACATGACATATTAAGGCGCAACAACAATACTGTAACACTTATAAGAAAGAGCTCCAAACCTGCGAAGGTATTCCCTCTTTTTTTTTTTTTTTTTTTTTTTTTTTTTTTTTTTTTTTTTTGTTCTGGGCTTTGAGCTGTTTAGATGTTGAGAATAATTTTTTAATTTTTTTTTTTTCATTACTTTGTTTATGGGTTCGCTCCAATTAAGACAATTAGGGAATGGGTTTAGTGTGAATTTAAATTATGGGATATCCCTTGAGGAAAATCTTAGAATTTTTAATTTTTGTGAATATATTTGTATTGAATCACTGACCTCTTTTTTTATTTAGTAGGGAAAAAGGGAATGATGCGATTGAATAAGGCAATATGGATGAATTTCTTTAGTTCTTGCCATGATAATCTATTATTTTACTCTTTCACTTTATTTTACAGATTCGTTCGAACACCTGCAGGAAGAAATAATAAGGCCGTTGAAGCGTAGAACGTAGGTTTACTTTGATGCCAAGGTTATGAAAAAAGAGTGGTTTGTACATTAGCTAAGTACATATAAGTATATATCTCTGTGTATGTGTTTGTGTCATTTGTTTTGATTGCGATTCTTGGTTTTGTGATTAGGATTTTTGGAAGGAGGCTTCGATTCAATTATTGGAACAGATAATATTTATCGAAAAATTCAATGGGTCAGTAGAAGCTGGCTGCTTGCAAAGACAAGAACATCAATATATATGCATTGGAATTTGTTGCGCTGTAAGTAGCTTTATAGGCATTGTATGCCATTGCCAATACATCAGCTTATATAGCAGCAAAATTGTTTTGTATTAACTACTTTTTTTGTCCTTTTTTTAGCTGAGGCTTTGTATCATGTGGACTTCAATTGGTGAGTATCACTTCGATGTTGATATAGTTTATTTTGTTGCAGAGGATATGAAGAAGTGGAAAGGTACCTGGTGGAATGTGAGTTTTGCTGCTTAAGACAAAGAGTGGTAACTTAGTTATTTCATTTGCTTTTTGGCTATTTCATTTGCTCTGTACAATGCGTTTTAGTTTTGTTCAACTCATAGATAGTTTAACCCATGATATGTCTTCTCATCGTTCTTGGATATCATTAACTACTCCTTGCAAAAGGTGAAACTGAATATATACAAAATTTTATATTTGTGCATCAATAGATTACTATGACTAATTTAAAGAAATTGTTCCAATTTGGTATCAATTGTGTTCAGTTGTTTGGAAGCATAACTATGTCTGCAAGAGATTGACTGAGGATCCGGATTGCATCATGTTCTGAATGAGCTTGAAAGAGGAGTTGCTCTTCATCTGACAATTGCATCGCATGTGAGTAATGTCTTCTGTTTTCATGTCTAAATTATTGAGAATTAACTTATACAGATGGGGATTAAGTGAGTTAAAGACATTGCATTTTAGAATAGGTTTTGTTAATCTACCCATGGTGGAACCCAGCTGTTGAGAGGCAACCATAAGATAGAATCCACCGGATAGGGCAGTACAAACCGATCAGGTACACATTTTTCTCCAGTTCTGCAAGGTGTTCCCAACTATTCAAACCAAAAAATCTATGTTAATATCTCTAATATTTTCTTCTCCATTGCAGAATTATGAGATTGTTTTGGAATTTGATTAGTTCGATTTGTTTTTCAATTTTTTTATTAATGTTGGATTGTTGGCTTATAAATTTAGAGTGGGTTGCTTTAGATTTTACTTGGAGTAGCTTGCGAATTGATTGCTGGGTTTTAATTTAGAGCACTATCTAATCAAATGAAGGGCCAAGAGTTTCTATTTGAATGATGGTCCCAGATCATTTCAGTCGTTCCAGAAATGTTTCTGAATTTGAGGACTTAAAATCCAGACTAAAGAGTAGCATTATCTTGGATTGCCTATCTTAGCATGATGATTTTAAATTACAACAACTTTAAATTTTACATTTGGAGTGTATTTTCATGTATAGGACAAGGTGTGGATTAGATAGCAGGATCTGGTTGGAAGACAAGATTTTGTGAAAGAAAGGGTAAGAAAATGCTGATGAATTTTCGTTGTTGATCTGTGCATGTAAGAGCTCTTACTGATTGTTTTGTTTTCTTTTGGCCATGTAAAAGCTCTGTACATAGAGTTCACAATACATGCATAGTTTTTCATTGTTCTAAAATTCTAAGTTCCTATAAATCTTTTCCTGCATTTATGAATTCTAAATAAATGCAAATCATAAAAATAATCAGAGTGGATAAAATTATTGGCTTATGTGCACTAATGAAATATGGCAGCCTTTCAACTCCCACCCAAGGGTTTTTTAAAGAATGATGTAATTAAAGCAATTACATGCTCTGTTATGTTTTATATATAGTTGTGGTAGTTGTAAGGGAATGAAATATTTATGCAGATAATTGGTAGTTTAAATATATAAAAATGGAGAATAATTATAAATGGAACACCTAGGATATATAACATTGTTTTGTTTTGCATGTTTTCTCATGTTAGCACAGCTTTTGTTTATGCATTTTATTCAAGTGCTATTTTTTATTAGTGTTAATTTCGGGTTTTACATCTAAAAATTTAGTTTTTTTTGTTGCCATTGTACATCTAACAATTAATTATTCGTTTGGAATTTGGTTGTTTGTTAATTTTTCATTACTACCTATTCTATCAACTTCATCTAAACTGTTTTGCATGTATAAGATTTGTGTTCGTGCAAGTGATTTCAGACAGATTTCAAGCTGGGGTGTAGAGTTTTGATTCAAATTGGTGGATTTGGGTAAGAAACTAAGAAACCATGATATTTTCTTTTGGTTGTAAGATTTGAAATGGACATGCATGTGCTTTTCTTTGTGAGATAAAAGAAATTGAGAATTTTTTTTGTTTATTGTTCTGGGGTGGGAGGGTTATTGACAGATATAAGAGCATTAGTAATTTTAATCAATTTGATAAATTAAGAATAGCGAGTTAGCGATATACACAAAAAATTTGTTAATAAATTGGTTAATAGGTTTTCATTTCCATTTTATTATTAGCTCTAATGCTTTTGTTTGACTTATGTGTATGATACAATTGATATGTTCTGTGTATATGAGCTTGCTTGAAATATAGCTAGGAAACATCTTTCCTTTTTTTATTTGGGCAAACATTTATTTCCTACACTGTTAACTTTCTTTAATGCTTGCTCTAGATTTTACAGGTTCTTTTTAAAGTTTGGCACTAAATTGCTTTTCTTTTCTTGGGTGCAAGGAAAATGAAGGAAGAGAAAGAATTAAATTCTGGATTTATCAAACACTTTGTAGATATTCCATGCATTTTTGCAGCTGGAATCTTTTGGTAAATACTTAACCTTTTAATCAAAGCCTATGTATGCCAATTGGTTTTGTAGTAGCATCAAATAATTAATTGCTTTTTTATTGGTAAGTGCCTAAATGTTTACACTTCAGTTTAACAGAAAATGAGAAATTGAGACAAAGTTGGAACCTAAATTACCTAATAAATCAATATTAGCAAACCCATGAACTTATTTCGTGATTATCACGATATTGTTTCAATATCCTACTTTTGCTTGCAATTCTGTTCTCTCCAGGACATTAAGGTGCATTTTTGGTTTTTAAGTTTCACTGTTTGATTGTGATCTCTCTATGAGATTGGATATATGATTTAAAATTTTTGTTAACAAATGTTAATTGTGATTCAATTGTTTTTTCAATCATGTAAGGAGATACAATCTAACCGACTGTAAAGGATGTCGACTATGTTGAACAAAAAATAGAAACTGCATGTCTGTATTATGAGAGGAAATGGAGAGCAATCTGTCTCAGTTTTGGAATGTGCTAGAATCAAAGAAGCTAACTCAAGGTGTTAACTTTGAATTTCCCCGAAATATCCTTTTTTTATTAATTATTTAGACGTAGAAATTCTCTTTGTTATTTTTATTAATTATTTATTTGGGAGTTAAGTGAAAATCAGTAAATGCGGATTTGTGTTTGTTTGCCCAGCTGTTATTTCAAAGCTGGAGGAGGCATTGTTGATTAATCCTAGGAAATATGATGCTCTGTGGTGCTGGGAAATGCTTAAATTGCTTGCTCATTATGCACTCTGGACCAGAATGAAGCAAAGGTTCCAAAAGGTGTTGTACTGCTTCCAGAAGGCTTTCAACGAGGTACTTCCACTTACAAATTTATTATTCTTGGAATTTGTAATCCCGCAACAACACGCGGGCATTACTAGCTAGTAACTACCAAATTCAGAAGTTGATCAAAAGTGAAGAAAAAAATGTTGGTCGCAGAAACGAGCCTTGTCTTTGAAAGATATGTCTGAAGATTCGACGACGCCAGAAAACTTCATGTTCCCGTTGAGGGTCAGGGTTTCGAATACGGTTCTTCCTAGGGCTGCAGTTGCAGCGTTCGGGTTGCGATTCATCAATGCGGGATACAGTGGAGACTGGTCGAGGACCGGAGCCATCGCAAAAGAGAGTGAGGAGTTGCTCAAGGTTGCTGCATTTGTAGTTGTTCCCTTATGTTTGTTCTCATTTTTTTCTTTTCCAAAGAAGTTGAGTACTGAATTTTTAAGATGGGATTGTGTATACTTAGAAGTGTGGAATGAAATGATTATCTGAATTTCAATACTGCTAAAAGTGCTTTTATTAGAAGAGCGTCAAAATGTTATTAAATTCAAGTGCTTTTTGAAAAAACAGTTCAAAGTGCTTCTTATCATAAGCATTTTTAAGTTTTTCTACCTTGAAGAGAGACTGTTTTTATAGGGGAGCAATTCTGCTAATAAGGTTACAAGTGTAAACATGTTGAAATTTCTACTATATATTCAAATGATTTATCTAAGTGCTTTCTAAAAAAATACTTAGGTACGCTTCTACAATCATGCTTAATTGTAAGTTTTTATGTCAAATGTAGTCACTAGTTAGAAACGTTATCGATTGTCAAAAAGCATGTTTAAAGGAGTCTTGCGTCAAATCCAAACAAACCAAGACACAACGTAAAAATATTACATGCCTATTTGTCAGTTGAAATCAAGAACGCTACGTATTCTTTTGCTACATTTATGTATATATGGATACAGAAAATTACAATTACGAAAGAAGAAACTAAATAACACAAAACTTCGTTGCACTCCATAATTACTACTTGGGTTCGATTTGCGCTGAAACAGCGTATCCACCGCTGTAATCAAAGGAGCCGGTGCTGTCATTGAATTCCTTTTTAGGCAAGCCTTCGTTGTAGGGATGTTTCGGAGCACCTTTTGATGCTGCAAACTCTGTGGTTGATGAAGATGCTGATGTTGAGTTTGTGTTCATCCCATCGTTCTGCAGAATGGTTTCGATAGCCTTCACAACTTCACTCATCGTGGGACGATCTGCAGCTGATTCATCAACGCATTGCATGGCTAGCTCCAAGAACCTCCCAAACCCAATAAGAGTTCCTGAGTTTCGAATGTTTCGATCTATTAACTCCCTCAAACCGTAATGCTCTTTGTCATTCTTGTCCATCACCAATCGTACCTCGCGGACAATGTATTTTCCCTTCTCGATTGGCTGCCTAGCAGTTATCAGTTCAAGCATAACGACTCCAAAGCTGTACACATCGCTCTTATCGGTCAATTGTTGAGTCATGTAGTACTCAGGATCCAGATAGCCCTGAAAGTGTAGACAGTAACTTACAATACAAGAAATGTTGAAACTGGAAAACACGATTTTCCTGCTTAGTGCTTACCCTAGCAGATCACATTTTAGGTAGTTATAAATGATAACATTTGAAATGCTTAATTGTAAACTTACCGCTGTTCCTTTGATCTGAGTCGATACATGTCCTTTTGCGCTGTCATTGACCAGCTTCGACAGGCCAAAATCTGCAACCTTCGCCGTTAAATGTTCATCTAATAGAATATTTGTGGACTTCACATCTCTGTGAATTATAGGAGGATTTGCAAGCTCATGCAGGTAAGCCAGTCCTCTTGCCGAGCCAAGAGTGATTCGGAGTCTCCTCTTCCAATCGAGATGAATACCAGATCTCCCTGCAACTCATATTAAAACAAAGCTTATCATTACGTGTTAAATCGATGGTACTAAATGAAACACATAAAACTAAAAATATGAATTAGCGAGAAGTAAAATTTAGAACTGACCTGACAAGCTTTCCTTAAGTGTTCCATTAGGCATAAACTCGTAAACCAACATCTGCTCTCCTTGTTCGAAACAGAATCCCAAAAGACCAACGACATTCTTGTGATGAACGCGAGAGAGCAACTCAATTTCAGTCTTGAACTCGAGGCCTCCCTGCATCGATTCTCGCTGAGCTCTTTTGATTGCTATCACTTGTCCATCAGAAAGCATGCCCCTGTAAACCTATGGATAGCCAACCGAAAAGTATAGAAAAAAATCTTTTAGCTTCAAGCACAATTTCATAGCTGTTACTGAATGAGTTGAATATTATATACCTTCCCATAGCCGCCAGATCCTATCTCATTACTGTCAGAGAAATTATTGGTGCACCTCTTAAGCTCATCATATGAAAACCATCTTGCTCCCTTTAACTGTGGTGCACCGCTACTATCATTTCTGCTTGGCGCCCAAGAAGCTGGAAGATAGAGGAGAGTAGTGAATATAAGCTGACCAGTATCTAGTATTAATAACAGAATTTCAGTCTACAAATCATCCACAACAGGAATGGTTACTCACCGAAAGGTCTGCTTAAACCAATGGCTCTTTCAGCACGTTTCTTTTGCCTAATGGCGTAAATTCCTACTACCACGAGGCCCACAACAAGAACGAGACAACTAACTGATATCCCGACAATAACACCAGTGCTTATGGATCTTGTATGCGTGTCTGAAACAATCGGGTTTTTTACTGTCAGTTTAATTGATCATCTAATGTAGGGAAAGTGTATATGAACACTGATTTAAAATTACCTGGGAAATTATATTGAGCTGCAATAAAAATGAAGGGTCCAAACTCCTTTGGCGGCTTGTAAGTCTGATTGCTCATATCAAAACCAATCCTGATAATCTCAGACCTATTAAAATATGTTCCTGTAGGTGGAAAGAGAGCCACATGTACTTTAAGATGGTCATCGATGTTGAAGAAAGGGTTATCAAGTGACACTGAACCGGGAGTGAGGTCAAGTTTCTCCCATAGGCTCCTTTCTAGGGATTGAAATAGAGTCACATTTGTCAAATCACTGAAAAAGGGCGCTCGGAAATCCAGTGTTCCTTCAAAAGGATATCCACATTGACAATTCTGAGGGCTTGGCTGCTGACCCCCGGGGCATGTAATGGATGGACACTCCGTTCTAGTAGCATACGTTTTTGTATTTGATTGTGGAGGCTGACAGAACGGACTCGACCTAGATTCATTGCACCATGGGTTCCCAACAAGTCTGCAATATGTAAAAGTCACAACTAAGAATGATTGTCCCATGAAAATACAGAACATCATAGAAAATTAAGATCGAGGCCCGTGAACTGTCTTACATTAATGTATGTTTGTACTCATAACCCAGTGTTGTTTCCTCAATCTTATTGTTCTGCAGATCAACAAGCGTCAGTTGCGGACTGATGTTATCACCCATGTTAAATGTGCCGTTAAACGCATTGTTTTTCAGTTTCCTGTCGAGTCACAGAAAAGATGAATGACCAGTTTATTGAAATCGCAGCACGTAGATGAATCATTCCGTTATTCT